GCAGAAGAGAAGAACGAGGGAGATAGAGGAAGTGAAGTGAATTAGCGAAGGTGTACGACCGAAAAGGAGGCCACGATCGTTCGAGTAAACAAGTGCCTTGGCCGCCGCACGACCAGTTCCACCTTTCTCATCTTGTTCCGACGTTCTGTCGCCATGGCCTTTAACGTACATAGAACCTTGCTCCGTCCAAAAGTATCTGCGTCATAAACCTAACGCGCCATTTTTAAATCTTTATTTTTGTATATATTATTCGTTCTTTCATTCAGAAGAAAATATTTAATTCTTTATATAAAAATTAAGATTTTTGATGACTAAGGAGAAATTCTATTATTAAATTTTTTTAAAACGAAAATTTTTATTAGTTTTAATTATTGCTAATTAAAAAAAGTTAAAAAATACTAGATTAATATTTATTTGAAAATAATATAAATCTATTTTTTGAAAATATTAAGAAAATGAAAAATTTACATATAAGACATATTTTAATGTAAACTTTTATGAAGTAGTTGTATCCATTAAATTTTATTTTAATATATAAATAATTCATAATTTACAAATCTTAAAATATTCGTTTCTTCGTTATATGAAAATATACGACTATGTAAGTATTTGAACAAGAGAATCTTTGAGTATGCTCGAAGACTCGAAGACTCAAAAGAAGTTATCCGGAACACGGAGCAAAGAGAACTATCATTAAATAAATGAAACATTATGTATTGCGGATTCATAGTGAATGGATAGAATGTAGAATGTTTCAAGAGTGTACATCGATAGATACTTCAAAAATTACAATACATTCCAATAAGCGAGTATAACTTTAAAATAAAATTTAATGGATACAACTATTTCATAATGATAATTTTTTGCTTAAATATATATGATCACAAAATTAAATATTATTTTGATATACAATCATATTCTGATTAAACCATTAAATATTTTTTTTTTATAATTTACATGTCAAATTATATTATATAAAATATATTTTTGATTATATATATATTTGATCATATATTTTATTTATAACTATGTAATTTTATTTATTAAACTATTTTTATTAATTAGAATATATTTTTGTCACATAGCATATGTATAGAAGTTATATTTAGTTATATATATAGAAGCATTTATACATATACATATTCACGTTCATTCCAACATTTTACCTATATTTGCTGCTATTTTAAAATCAATTAGAATATAAATATAAGATATGATTGTTTATTTATAGATATTAATTAATACTTTTATATTTAAAAAAAATTTAAAGATGAAAAACAGAAAATTAATAAAATTATACCAATTAAATTTTTTTTCTATGATCTTCAATCTACCAATCTTTCATGTTCGATATCGATACGTAACTTACATAAAAAAAGCAGCACACAGACCTATACACGTGGATCGATTCACGAGAGTTATAATTCGTATTTCCAGTTCTCTCGATCACTTATGTTAAACGTGATCTATAATGTTTTTTCTTCTTTCTCTCGCTTTGTTGCTCTCTATCTCTCCTATTCAAGATCAAGGCTTCGCGGTATTAGCATGATTGCTGCATAAGAAAACAATCTAGGTTAACACGGCGAGTGCATAGCATCGGTCGCGTGAAAATGTTAATGTCATATGTATAGGGTGAGTCATTAATAATCATTTTGACGATACAGAATGTTCTATTTAACTTGTCTATTTTTGAGAAAACAATGAAATGAAAAGAAAAAAAATTATCGGATTTTCTTTATTTTTGTTTCTTTGATGTGCAACAAAAAATTAAGTTGTTAAAGATTTGAAAAGAAACATAATTACTAAGTAATTGATACATATATAAATATCTATAATATACATATATTTATAGATGGTGTGCAATGTATTGAAATAAAAAAATAAATAACTTAAAGATAAAAAGAAAAAAAATAATTAGACGAGAACCATTAATGATTTTATTACAAAATTTAAATAAAATAAAAATTTACAAAATATGCAAAAAAAATATATCTAAAATATTTAAGTAAAATAGATTTTTACTTTAATTTCATATTTGTAATTGTATTCATAAAAATTTAAATTTGTATAAATATTCATTTAAAAATAATATATTTAATTTAAAAATAAGTTCAATTTTTTCTAAATATAAATAAAATATGAAAGAAATATAATTGTACAAAGTAGTTATTACTTTTAGCTATACAATTATATAGCAATTTATCAAACTATTAAATATATATTTAATATATTATTATATATATATATATTATTAAAAATATAAAATAAAAAGAATTTTCGAATTAAAAGTCTACAATTTTTATTTTTTACATTATATTCATTCATTAATTTGTATTTTTTTTTATTTTTGATTTATATAAACATAAATTTATTATTTTTTTTATAAAAAATATTTATAAAGAAAAAATATTTAATATAATTTCAAAATGGAATTAATAATATTAGTTTTTTTTTTTATTTTTTCTCTAATTCTTTTTCCTTAATATATTTTTCTGAGTACTATTGTAGTATTAGAAATCATTCTGAAAAAATGAAAAAAAAACAATTTAGTTAGCAAATCTAGGTGGTTCGATCCAAACCATGTATGTGAGTGATACATTTGCTCCTCATGCCACACCTCGAAATGCATTTCGCATTCCGTACCGCGTCGCAATAGCGAACACAAACCACGCATTCCTCGAGGACCTGCACCGGCTTTCGCTGCAAGGTGAAACACTTCCGTCTGCTAGCGATGCTAACATTGACCTTCCTTTTGGGAACACCTTACTTGCCTCTAACAAATTTAAATCAGTAATATGAAATTTTTAAAGAAATACATTGTTAATTCAATCATAATCAATAGAATAATTATATATATTACAATTGTTGAATTAATTATAATCTTTGGTTACAAAGATTAAAATTATTTCTTTTCATCAATGATTATTAATTATTGATTATTAATAGTCAATAATTATGATTAATAGCATGATCTTACATTAATCATAATTAATCATAATTATTCAATTATTAATCAAATTATATCTCTTATCTAATTCTATTTTCTATCGATTGACAAGATTTTAATTAATAGAAAACGATTATTGCAATTAATAAAATAAAAATAAATTAATAAAATTGCATATTTTATTGTTATAATAATTTTTTTGATACTTTACTTTAGTGCAAAAGACAAATTAAAAATTGAAATAAAGACTTATCAATTCAATAACTATTATATGTTATGTAGAAATATATATATATTTTTGCAATTAAATATTTTTTTTTTAATTAATTTTCAAGTTAACTCAAAGCAATAATTTTATCACCAAAATTGTTGCTTGATACACACACAAGTAGATCTGTCCTTCTCTTGCTGCAAAATCATTTATTATTTTTATTATCGAATAAGGAATTGAAGATGGAAAAATACATATTAACATTTAATGAAAAATATAGTCTTATTTGGACATAACCTTGTACGATCATAGGTCTCCAACCTTTTGCTTGTGCAGTGAGTCATTTTTTGCCTGCATTACTTTCTTCATTTCAAACGATCAAAATTCTGGTGCAAAATTACACAAACTGAAGATTCTCACTTATATATCGGGACAACAGTGATCTTGATTGTGAGCCTGCAATTAAACACTTATTCATATATATGATTTTATAGAGTGATCGAAAAATTTTTAATGATTGTTAACGATTATTATTTATAGTTAAGAATTTTCATTAATTCTATTTAAGATTAAATTAAAAACATTACTTTTTTTTAAATATTTTTATAAGTTTGTATATTTTTATCATTTTTATACGAAATATATTGATTAAGTTAGGTTAAGTTCAATCACATTTTATTTTATTTATATCAGTTGAATTATTATAAATTAGATTCTAATTCAATTAGATAAATTTTAAATTTATAAATATATTATTTAGAAACTCAAAACAATTATATTTCGTTTCTATTTATCAAATATTACTTATTAGAAAATATAAATAAATGTTTTAAAAAAAGTGTTCATTCTTTTATTTGGATTTATTCTTGAATAAACTTTTAATACGACTTTTAATCTTTAAATTTTTAATACAATCTAAATTAATCATTTTTTATATCATTATATTATCATCATCATCATATTATCATATTATTATATCCATTACCATATTATCATTATATTATTCTTTTGATAGAAAATTTTTTATATATTTTTTTTTTCATTCACACATATACTTGATACTTTATATATATATATATATATTACGATAATTCTTGAATAATTAATTATAACTTTAAAAATATTAATTTTTCAATCTATGTTATACCAAAATTTTTTTCTTTATTTAGTGTGCAATCATCTATTTTTAAATTTTATTAATTCTTTTTTTTCCATCATCCTATATATAAGCGTGTGTAACTGTTAGTATCACACACGGAGAAAACGGTCAAGGCCATCGTATGTGTAGATGCTCCGCGGACAGAGTGCTAGAAAGCAGCAAAAGGAATAGCAGTAGTGTGACCAGTATGTTTTCCAATCTCCTTAGCCAAAGTCGACCTTCGCGAATTGGCTTACGATTAACCAAAGAAACATTTTTGCTATAAAGGATTCATTCTCCATTGGGGATGGTCTGAATAAAAAGGTATGTGTTTAGAACAATTGGATCATGTCCAATTACGGTAAATTCACATATTTCTCAGACAAATTCATTTCGTAATTGTAATTGTTTTTATTCATGGTTCTTTGTTTAATATTGAAAATCTGTTGAAAATTGTTATCATATATCATATCGATAATCAATATCAATAATAGAATATTGTTTTTCTAATATTGTTTAAACTTAATAATATAAATTTAAATTTATAAAATATTATTTTAATAACGATTTTCATAATTATTTTTCATAAACCATCTTAATCCTTTTGCAAATAAATATATTTTTATTTCTATATTTCATTTTAATAATTTTTTATTTTTTTGATTAAAAATTTTAAGACAATTCCGGATTCCCATTTTTTGTGCATTTTTATTATATATCGATTCACATTTTATAATTGTAATACTTGATCAAAAATATAAAAAAATATATAACGATGGTTTTAATTCTTATAGCCTATAGTAAATGATATAATTAAGAACAAAAATTTCATACCTCATCGAAAATAATAAATTTCTGTGCATTTATATTCTGTCAGCTTTTGGAAAATCTTCCATTTATTATTGCTATCATTGGATATCTTGCAACGAAATTGTACAATCATATTTTATTAGGATCAAATGATCATCCAAGTTGAGGGACAAGGTTCATGCCATCGAAGAAGAATTATATATTACCTTCGAATCGATTGTAAACGTAAGTTAAAGATAAAAAGAAATATTTAAATTCTGAAAAGATTCTTGTATACCAAATTTCACTCTTTAACTTGTTCTATTAGCTGAAGCTGATTATTATACGCTTGAAAATTTTACGACACAATTTCTGTAATTTAGTTTTATTTGAAGTCATATGAGTATATTCGCATTCAAGTATTCCAATAATACGATATAATATATATTCTTGAATGATTCAAAGACTATATTTTGAACATGTTTTTCTTCCTGAAAAAATTACAGAACAAAATAATAATTTTTACTTTGATTTTTACTTTGAAAATTCTATATGAATTTAAAATAATTATTAACTAAAAACTAAATAACTAAATTTTTATAGGCTTTAAAAAATAAGTAGAAAAATAGTTTTATTACTTTTACTTATATGTATATTAGTAAAGAAAAAAAATTATAGAATGTCATTTTGACAAATATTTAAGAATTATAAGAATAATAATTTTATTTTCTTTTTTTCCTCTTTTATAAGATTCTTGTTTCTTAAGATCATAATTCATAGAAAATAATTTGTTAACTTTTAAAAATTTTGTAGGATCAATAATATTGTTAATATCAATAAATATAGTTAATTTAGATTATTTTTAACACTAAATAGCATATTTCACTCAATTTTTTACTTTTCATTTAATTAAACATTATATTCAATATGATTCCTTAATTACTTTCTCTTTGTTTCGCATTCGGTTTTAAATATTATTGAAATTTTTTTCTCAATGTCAAGCATATAAAAATATAAAATTTAAAATCTAGTAGATTTTAAAAAAAAAAAGTTAAAAATTGGAACAATTCATCGTTCTATCAAGAATTCCGCGAGCAACGATCGAGGACATAAATGCGACGATGCGTGGCCCAAGTGCGAAGAATTGTAAACGTGGATTATAGAAATTCTTGCGAATCACACACGAGAAAAAAAATTCTTAACGTGGTATATTAATTATAAAGAAGAAAAGTAAAAAAATGGTGGAAAAAGAAAATTGGAATCCATAATGCATAAATCATAAATACATCCATTACTAATCTATCTTTTTGTATTAAATTTTATATACATATAACTTTTAACTAATCATTTTCTACTTATTCTACAATTTATTATATGAAAAATAAAGAAATACTTACATTTATTAAAGATTACTGGGATACTTACTATCATTAGTCAATTGCAAACTTTTAATATCATACGATATTCATCCTACAACAACAATTAGAGGTTAACTAAAATTGGTTATATTGAATTTACTTTCGTGAACATTTATTGCATCACAACATTTGAAAATCGCTTTTCTAATTATAAATTCCAAAGTCAATTAATAAAATGAAATGAAATAATTCTTACCAATAGCTTTTTTCTAAACGGAACAGAATGAAATGAGATGATAAGACCGAATAGAAGGAAAAGAGAATCAAAGAAAGAGAGGTCGGAAGAACGGGAAAATGGGTAGAGAGAGAAAGAGATCGCGAGGCGTCGGAGCGGCTGTCCTTGGATACTCGCGGATCGGTGGCCACCGGCAGTCAATGACCTAACAACGCTCTTGTATCCACGTCGCTTCGCTTGGTTCGTTTGATTCGTTCGGTTCGTTTCGCCTTGTCTCGGCTAAACTCGGTTGGCCCTGCGACGCATGCTCACCTTCGGCTGCCTTCGGTGACTCAAGTTTTCTGCCGACTCTCGAAGGGCTCATTATTATTATTAGTGATAATAATTATAATCATTTGCAATGATGGGATTTGAAACACTTTTAAATGTGACGAAAAATTCAGATCATTTCGAATATAATTGAAAATCTAGAATTTTTGAAAGTTATTATAAGATGCTTTGCAAAATTTTTAGACTTCGAATTATATTCGAAGTAATTCGAATCTTCAATCTTGGAAAGTTCAAATCATTTCGAACGTTTACTCATTATTTGATTATCGATTTCACTTTTAAATATTTTATAATTAATATTTTAGATCCATTTTTTTGTAGCTAAAATTTTAAGCGAACTTTTATTCTTTTAATAATCTTTTATAGTTTTAACTTAAATAAAATAATGATTATAATAATTTTTTACAACAGTTTTTGTCATTTATTCATTTTTCTCCATGTCATAAAAAATTTTTTATTTTTAATATAAAAGTTAATATTTAAAAATATTAATTGAGTCTTAATTAATTTATAGGATAATTTATATAAGATAAATTAATTTTATGTTAATTTATCGACAAAAATAGCGTGACAAAAATATTTATCTAATTCCATTTCTATTTCGTTTTTGTATATCAATTTTTGTATTTGCTTTGTCTCTAGTATAGATTCATCAAAAATATTTCATGAATACATTAACACTCTATATATATTATAAGATAAAAAATTAAATATTGAACAGAAATAAATCTATACTTAATTATAATTTAAATTCAAATATTGTTTGAGAATATAATTTGATGATGAATGAAATTCAATGAAAATTCAAATCTATAAATTTTAAATACAATATAATATCTTTCAATTTGATTGCCATGAAATTATGACTTTGTGGGTTATGTTATTTGTTGCGACAAATTACATGTTGCGACAAAGAGGTTATTATACATTTATTTAGAATGAAAGATATATGTACTTATATTGCTGAATAAAAATACTAGCACATTCCAATTTTTTTTTAAAAATCTATAAAATAGAATTTTTTTTTCAATGTTTTGCAACAATATTTACATTATTATAATTTTTTCTATATATAAAAGAAATTTATTTATTTATATTATATTATTTATTATTTATTTTATTTATTTATTTACTTTATATGTATTCACTTATATTATATATAAGAAAGAAGTTTTATTATATTTTGCAAATGCAAAAAGCTTAGATGTCGCGTTATAAGATGCATTTTTTTGATATACAATTTCTTTCTTTAATACGAAATCATTTTGAAAAAAAGCCTGACGATATCCTGACAATATATATTGTTTTCCATCGAAAAACAATATGTTCGTGTCAGCTAAACGAATTGCAAACTGTTTCTATATGATTTAGAATTTTTTTATTTTATCTTAAAAGAAATATATACTTTACACAAAATATGATTTATTAAATAATTTAATAATATAATTTAATTTAATTTAATTATAATAAATTAATAATATTATTAAATTAAACACTATTAATAATATATAATCACTTATAAGTTTTTGTTTAGAAAATTTAGAACTTAACCTAAAAATCCAGGCTTTAAGAAATCTAGAAGTATATCATAGAATAACAGCTTTTTCTATCTACAATCTATAATAATTCCATTTATAATCTTTTAATATATAATGTATAATATATTTAACCTCTTATTATATAATGTATAACAATCTATACATTATGTAATATACAAAATATAATATATATCTTACTACAAAATTCGAATATTTTTACCTTGAAATATCAGAGGTATTAACTCGAGAATTTCTGCGACTAATTCTGAATGGAGAATGAGAAATGTCAACAGAAGCATATTTCTGAGTGTGTACCTTATAATTTGCAAAAGCAACATGTGCTTTTACATATGTATATATCATGAAGAATGGGCGAAACGTGAACGCGAATGCGTTTCCACAATACATTCGGGTCATGGGAAGAAGACCAATACAGGGTTATGGGGATTTCGTGGCCGTCGTTCATTCGTGTCTCACGCATTTCCGTTTTCGTGTTTTTCGTACCTGCCATGCTTTTTTGCCGTTCATTACGAAGCTTGCTCAAACCACATGGAATATCGTGACAAATGTCATTTTTCGACCCAGGAAATCCATTCAAGATTTAAGAAAATTGAACGGTACTTGTTTCAAATTCAAAAATTTCCTTTAACTATGAAAATTCTACATATGTATAAGATGATAAAGAAAAAAAAGAATTCATAATTTTGAAGAAAAATAGTAATTTTGTATTATTAATATTAGAATATTATAATTATAATATATTATAATATTATTAAACAAATATAATATATATTTGATTAAAAATAATTTAATTAAAAAAAAAAAGTTTAAAGATTTTCTTACAAGTTACAAATTAATTGTGAAATCAATCCGATTATTTTTCTTGTTTTGAATTAATATTAGATCTTCACTAGTAAATCGATTCCATTTTTCAAAATCTTTTCGCCATATGCGTTGTTCTTTTGCAAAGAGGAAAATTTGGGTCGTTGTAACAACGCTGTTCACGTTAGAAATTGGCGGAAAGGGGTTTCGTTCGAGATATTTTCTAAGGCCGAGAAAAAGGATCGTGAATATTGAATGGGTTCGTTTTCTATGAGCCGTTCAACCGAGTTTTCAATAGCGGCACAAAAACCAGATCAGTTTCGTGAGAAAGAAAATTTTTAATCCTCGAATCTCACAAACGAAACATTGAAAGATATTTTTTTTAATTTAATTTATTTATAATATAATTTAATTTATTTACAAAAAGAGTATACAATACTACTTAAAAAGTCATCATTTTAGAAGAAATTAACTTTCAAAATAAATAATTACATACATATATATATTAAAATGATAAATTTTTCTTTTTTTCGAAAATCGACAATAAATAAATAATTGCATTTAAACAAATTTTTTTATTAGATTTCCAGTTGAATAGATTTTATAATGAGAGTTATCCATTATGCTGGAAAACTGAAATATAATCAGGATTACAATACCCAGATTAAGAAAGGGTAAACCAAGCTTCGTTGAAACAGCTCACCAAGAAAATTTCTAACAATAAATTAGTAAATAATTTACAACTATAAGTTATTAGAAACCTATTTAGTAAATTGTCGGTCCAATACAAGTCAAACTCATTGAAAGGCTTTACCTTAAGGTCTTAAATCCTGATTTATTTTCTCAGTAAGTATTAATTCTCAGTTCAAACAAACTAATCATCGATACGTTGTAATATACCCTTATAAGCGAGATATCTATACAACTTTTGAAATACTGATGATATAACTTTTTTCAGCTTTATATTATATTTATAAATAAATTTTTATTTAAGTAATTCTTTTATAATATTTAATAATATATTTTATAATATTTAATAATAAATGCATAAAGTAAGTATAAAGTAAGTATTTCATCTTTCCAATTTGAAGTGTAAAAATTTCTTGTTTATAATTTCATCTTTGTAAAAGAAAAAATTAATTTTACTATTTTGCTCTGTAATATATCAATTTAAAGTACATTTAACCTTTAAAAATAGAGAAGAGATTACATTATGATGAAAAAAAAATAAAAAATAAAAAATAAAATGAAAAAAAAATTAAAAAGTTTAAATTATTATAATATGACATAAAATGTTATTATTATAATAAATATAAAATTGGATTTTTTGTTTAGAAAAGAATTTTTGTATAGAAAAAGAAAAGATCCATCCATCCCATATATTTATTGTGTAATTAATTCACAATGTATAGATTGATAGTATGATAATTTGATCATGGTTATAACTTTTTACATGTTCATTTTTTAGAAAAATATTACAATATTTTATTGTGTATTATTGATATAATCTCATTCAATATACTATAACTAAAATCATTTACATTTTCTTCATTAATATAATTTGATCTGAAAAAAGAAATAATTCATCTCTTAATTAATTTTTTAAATTATCCTAACTTTGATATAACTTTATTTTATGATCAATTTTATTTTTCGTTAGAGAAGATTTAACGACAGATTTTTCAACAAAATGATGCGGAGAATACTTATCCTGCAGTCACGTCGAAAAGTTGCACGATAATTCAGTAAAATTACGTCACATGCCAGTATCTTCCAAGAATTTATAACGGAACTCAGTTTCGTCATTCAGGATTCAGTGGTCGCCAACGTATATACGTGTATGTCGTGTTTATTTTTAGAAACAGCTACAATCATCTCGAGTTTAAACATTGGCAAGGCACAGGTTCTTCTTCACGCTTCTCCGCTTGATCGAATAATTCCCTGTTTCGCGAAAAGAGTAGAAGCAATTAAACTTTCATGCGAGAAGCGTAAATTAAGTTGGCTCATGAAACGACAGGGTACGTAAGTGTTGATACTTCTTTTTAGCGTTCGTAAAATCATTTTTGAAGAGATAATTGCCTACCAAAGTAAAAGAACGAATATTTTAAAAATTAACGAAAGATAATTGCGAATATAAAAATGAGGAATTTATTATTAATAAAATATTGTAAAAGAAATGAATCAAAGGAAATAAATTATTAATTTTTATATTAGATTATTCATTTCATTTTAAAATGCAAATATTATTAGATACATTTTTAAATACATTTCCATTCAAATAATCAATCATTTGAATAAAACTAAACTTTAAATAATTGATATTCTTCCATAAAATAGAATAAAATCAAATCATTCATTCATCTTACCAATTTCCATTTCGATTTACTTTTTCTTCAACCGTTCATAAAACATTCGTCGAATCTATGTAAATTTCATGGCGCCTATTCTAGTCGGATACGAGATCAATCGCGTTCACGGTTTCCACGATTCAATCAGCATCAGGAAGCTTTCCCACAAGGTGTGCTCAGGTAGGATATGGAACAGAAATATCGAATATACGGTAAGGTGCTACTGAAGAACGCAGGATACACAAGGATAACTCGAACCACCTGTCCCTCTCTCCCACGCTTCTATAAAATCCTATGGACCCGATGGATGGATGGATGGATGGATGGATGCTCTCTAATATGAGATCTTGAGCAGAGCGAAAAGAGATCTGGCCTGCTACCCCACCTGCGCTTTCTTTTCCATTACTCTAGGACAAAGGACGGAGGAAGGAAGTCGCTTCTTCCTCGTCTCTTCCCCTCTTCGAATGGAATCGATTGAATTTCGATTGGAAAATTTTTTGTGAGAATTTTTCCTTGGTCTAAAAAAAAAACCTCTCTTTTCTTTCTGAAATTTAATTTCTGTCGGTTATCTGATTTTTTTTATTTTAGTTTGTTAAATATATCATCATATTTTTTCAATATATATTTTCACATGAAGATTTTCCATTCCATCTAGAAATATAAATATTATTAATATTATAAATATTATTCAACATTCAATTATTTTTGAATGAATTTGTGAAATCGATTGTTTCATAAAATATTTTTCCATTGAATGTAAGATTATATTTTTATTTTTTTATTATTTATTATATTTTTATTTTTACAGAAAATTTTGTTTATTGGAATGAAGATCTGCGGAACATTTATCATGATATTTATATACCATGCGCGATAAAATATTAAAATATTAAAATATTAAATGATTACTTTGCAAATATTTGTTATAAAATAAATGATTGAGGACAAAGAAAATGGGGAAAAAATTAAAAATATTAATTTTCTATAACATAATAAAAAATATATCAAAAAGTTAGGAAAATTTCATTATTTTAATTAATTTTTTTATTTCATTAGAGGAGTGAAAGACAAAATTTTTTAAATAAATAATAAATAGAAATAGATATTTTTTTAAATAATACATTGGATTTTGCATATAAACTCTTTTTTGAAATAATAATTATGTAAATAAAATATTTTAAATATATATATATTAATATACAATTCACACAAATAATATAAAAAAAAATATTTTAAAATGAATATTTAAAATAAAATATAAAAATTCTTCACATAATTTTTATAAGTCCATCTACAATTAATATAATGTAATGCAGCTCTTTATATTAAACTATTATTAAAACTTTATATTAAACTATAATTTTTTTATATCTTTTTATATTTAATATTTTTATATTTTAATATATTCCTTAAAATATATTTCATTGTACTTAAAATTAACATACCTGTATAAAACTCACAGAACCAATAATCATAAATAATGTCTTAAAGGATAATAAAGAGTAATAAATAATGAAACTAAATCTTTTCTCACAATCATTTCAATTTCCACACAGTCTTTTCAGGTATATATACCTGTCCAGTTTCTTCACATCGGGATTTTTGCAGCCGTCTAATATATACCAGAACCATAAACGAAAATTTTTTGGGGAAGCCCCATACGATGGACCATGAAGAAAACTGAAACTGAAAAAAGCGTGGTTTCGTCGATATTTTTAAGCCTTGCCTATTGTATGTAACGGAATCGGTGGTTTTTTTCGACAATATTTTTTTCCATGAAAAATTCTCGAATTGCCATACTCGAACCTTTTTTTTATGACGGTCGACATTTTCTACTAGTTAAACCTGGTTGAAAGAAAATTGTCATAATAGTGGGATTTTTATTGTACGTACTGGACGTAAACCAAGTGAAAATGTATGGAATAATAGGCTTATGTTGAACATTACTATAACGTTTTACTCTTTTTCAATTTTGTCAGATTTACGAAGAAAAATCTTTTATCTTTTTAGTTACAACATGGAAAAGTGATTTTCGTTTTCATTTGTATTTTTTTCAATCTCTTATTCGCATTTGCTTGCAAAATTGAGAAATTGGAAAATCTAATCTAACTTCTTAACTTTGCTGTTATATTTAAGTTCATTTTACATTTGAGTTAATCAAAATAAGTTAATGATATTTAAGTTAAAATTAAATATAATTGTTTATATTTATTGTTGATCTTTATAATTTTAAAAATTAGAATATATTATATTAAAATATATATAAAAAAAATATTATTTATTTTTATTATTATTATTAGTTGTAATTTACTATAAAAAAATTTAATATTTTAATGATTTAATGAAAAATGAACATTAAAAAGTTAAGGAAATAGAAAGTATTTAATGTTCCTGATAAGTGTAAGTTTCATTACCTTGACATTTACCTTAACCTTGTTTTATCCTCTTTTATTGAATTTGTATATTGATAAATATTTCATGATAACATATTATTAAGATAAGTATTAAATATTAATAATGGTTATTAAGAGTTCTTGAAAATCACCTCTAATGAATACTGTGGTTAGATAGTTTAATTAATATTCAATATATATAAAGAGAATATGCCAGAATAGATTTTCTGGATATGATAACATAGTATTAGTAATAATTAATAATTACGTTGACTCATTTTAGAATATTTTTAATGAGATAAACAGTTAATCTTGATTTATTTTACAAATACTGATGTCTGTTCATTAATATAGTGCTGAAAAATAAATTTTCATTAAATTTTTTTGAGAAATTAAAATGTTGCAATTCTTGAAAATTAAATATACATAATATTACATATTTGAAGAATTAAAAAAAAAACTTATAGGAAATTAATGTAATATAAAATAAGTACAAAAAAATATTTTAAATAAATTAATAAAAAATTATAATTGGTAAAAAATAAATAAAAAAAAAATATATAGCTGACAGAATTCTTGGAAAAAGTGTATTTATCGAATAAAAATTTATTTATTAAAAATATAATTGTTTATTAATCTTTTGACGATGAAATTTTTTAGAGATTATGGAAAATATTTTTTTTATATACTTAATTTAGATTTCTTGCAAAAAGTTTATTCTTTATAACAAGTTTTATAGAATTTAGCTTTAATCTATATAGAAATCTAGTATAGAAAGACTTAAATTTTCTTTAGGGAATTAGCAAGAATTTATAAAAAAAAGTAATTCCATATTTAACTTTTGGTTTCCTTAATATAAAAAATTTAACCTTCATAACATGCTTTAATCTACGAAAAGGGTTAAATTTTTTTCAAGAAACCATCAGATATTTATAAAAATGACTTCGCTTATGACACATTTAATTTTTGGTTTCTTTAATGCAAAAAACATAAGCTTTAATCTAAATGATGAAAAAAAAGATTTCGAAAAAATTTCAGCAATGGTGTTCAGTTAAGAATATTTACTAACAGATGGGGAAAAAATCCTAGAAAAAGTTGACTCCGTCTATAACTCAAAGGATTAACCTAGACGGGCAATTCATCGAGAATGGTTTACAACCATCCGTGTTTGAAGGGTTAAGTTTTAGAAACGATGGATTACCCTTTCAAATCTACAACCCTTTTCTTTCCGTTTTTTTTGTCCAGGATTAATAAAAGATGTTTTTAAAAAATCTGGTAATTTTTGACAATCGTGAAAACAACTTTTTCAAGAAATTTTTTATTGTGTTATTATGTTTGTAACTATTAAATATATAACATTTGTATTTTAATCTTTTTAAATTAATAATTAATTTTCGAACAATTTTATAATGAAGATTTGAATTTAAAATTTTCTAGATTTTAGTGAATTTGCAAAAATCCATTAGACAAATCCATTACACAAATTGTTTTGAATATCCATAAAGAATGCATTGATCATTATGTTCATTATGTCTAGTATTTGCATTTTTTGCTTATATTTTTAATATGGATTAAGAGTTTTCAGTTTTTTTAAATATTTTATAATGTTTTACCGTTTAAAGCTTGTACTTTCAATGCAACATTGACGGAGAGCATAGCGGTTTTAAATTGTCCTGGCTATTAACGGAATTTCTTCGCAATTGTAGGTACTATCCGTACTTAAGAAGCTTATAATTGGGTTTTCATAATAAAATATGGTCAATGCAATTCAACGTAAAATACAAAAAAAATCATTGATTGCATATTATCTTCGGTATATTAACTAATAATTATAATTCCGAAGACATTGAATCAATAATATTTGTAGTATTTTTGTTTTTTGTCAAAAATTATTAATTAATATATTTATAAATTTTTATTACTTTTTAAAATATTTTTTATTTCTATCATTTAAAAATATTAAATATTATATCAAGGAAGATAATAAATAACTATAAATAACTATAAGTATCTATAGAATATTATTTCCAAACTTTTTTGATTTAGCAGAAAAAATAATTTCTATATTTAATAAAATTATATATATATATAATTTTATTAAATATTTAATAAAATTTTTAATATAATTTTTGCAATATTATATATCATTACATATTGCATGCAAGAGAATTATAGAATAGCAACTTAAAAAAATAGATTCGAAAAAGACATTATAAAGAGCACTATCGTACTAGACGGTACGAAATGTGTATATCCTTGATAGTTACCACTCGTTCATCGTTCTATAGACCGGTTCACTGACATTGTACCGTCAAGGAGTCCAGCATTGTCAAGGTCCGCCGATTCTTCTCAATGACGTCGATCTGTCATGCAATTACAATCGACACGGTTTACCGCGAAGGACACTTCTATTGTCTCTGCGCTTTTACAGTTCCTACATTATTTTCACAATTCTTCCTACAGAAATATATAAATTAAAACAAAAGATTAAAATTGTACGATTATTTAAGATGAAATGAAATCAATATGAAAAGTACTTACCCATTTTTAAGAAGAATATAAAAAATATTTTTATAAAATTAATTTTTGAAATATTATATATAAAGGCTGAAATTTAAATTTTTTATTTTATTCTATTTCAAAAGTCAAATTTTTTTATCCAAAACTATTTTTGCATAAAAAGAAATATTATTTATTAAAAATAAAATTATATTATAGTAAATTATTATACAAAAATCTATAAAATTGATGAAAATTCTTAAAGGATTTGCATTATTTAATAAATTTAAATAAATATTACTTTTTCACTATATTATTATTAGAAGCCAATTTTTTTTTATTACAAAAAAAACTGAATACTAAAAAAGAATTTTATTTTCACATCTGTGAAAAAATTCCGATTCATTACTTAATTTTTACATCACTTAAGGTTATTTCTATTTATATTTATTCATTCTAATTTATATACAATAAATTAAAATATTTTTATAAAATTTCGTTAAATTAATAAAAGCATGCTGCTAAATTTATTCGATTTATAAATAAAAGAACAGTAACTCTTTTATAGCATAAGAAGGAGTGTTTTGAAAGGAGTTGATCGAGCATCTGCATCGAACATATGTTACTGTCGTGTTTCCTGAACCTTCGAAGAATCGATTTATAACCCGGAAATCAAAGCTTACTAAGATTTTTTTTCTTCATTACAATTTATCTAGTATGCAGACTCATCTCGGTGGAACCTTTTTTTCAGTGATTGCCTTGATTAATTTCCCACTTAATTATCCTTTTTCAAAATGAAATGGTCGAATAATTCCTTAAAATCGATCCTTAGTTTTTTACCCTCATCTTCCATATGGTGCAATCTTTTCAAATTAAAAAAGGCTACTGTGAACATTTAAAACAAAAGTTTTTAAAAAATCATTTATATTTAAAATTTTCTAAAAAAATCTTAAATAATTCAAAAAGAATATTTTGTTTAATATATATATAAAATCATTTCTTATTCAATTATATCTTAAAAATGTCATATGTAATATAATTATCCACGTATAATATATATATAAAATAAATTCTAATTTAGGCAATAGTCCATAAAGTATATGGTTGAATTAAAACAAGGCTTCGTAATCATAAATTTGTCATAACGCCGTTGACTATTATCCAGAGATGTGATACGGTGTAATAATTTATAATTTTATATCCATATCAAATTAGAGAATACTTCCTAACGATACACAAAAAAAGATCTAAATTCCTAATAGAAATAAACGAGCAACGGTACAATGCAACACTATCCAACCAAATGGCAAATTATTTTCATTTAATAACGTGTCAATTCAAATCATCATAACCTAAATTATTCTCCATGTTATAAAATTCATGATAATTTTATAAAATATCAAAATAATTATATCAATATAATTTTTTTATTAACAAAATATAAAAAGAATCTTTATCACGAATAAATATAAAACTAAGTTCTCATAAATTTATAATGACGAAAAAGAAATATTGAAAAGCGAGAGAAGAGAAAATGAAATTATTTTTGAAACATAAATACACATGATATGAAATAAAATTATAAATCTTTGCATCATATTGGATAATACTTTATAACAACATTACATAATGATGATGTAATAAACAGACCAACCTTTATAATAGTAACCTTTACAGGTAAAAGTTTAAAGAGAGGTTAGGGAAAACCGTTCGCTCGAACTTTCTTTGACAAATCTTTTCAGTATATATTCGGTCGATGACAATAGCGAGCTTTAAATCGTCCTACACGTAGCATACTGTACAATCAGTACCGCAAGTTCCAGAGACACGACTTACTTGGTTCACTTTTGCTGGTTAACGGTAAGTCCGTCAAGAGTCAGTGAGTCAACGAGTCAACGGGGGCGAACACTGGTCCCCACGCACTCGCGCGATTGCTCGAGAATCGATCTTCCTACGTGCATGCGTGTTATTTGTAAGCATCCTTTCTTCCTCTTTCTTTATCATGATCTTCTTTCTTGTTTCGATCTAAATATTGACTATTATTTTTTCTTTGTTCTTATTTGTCCTTTTTATATTTTTTATCCTTATTTATTATTTTATTGAAAGACAATTCTTGCATGTCCATTTTTAAAATTTTATTTTTAAAATTTTTATTTCTGAAACAAAATAATGTTTAATGTTATTTACAAGAATTTTATTCTATTTTATAAATATATCATAAAGTATAATTATATTTATTTATATTTATAAGATATTTAATAAACGATGGATATTTAATATAAATATCACATATATATTTATAAATATATATTTTACATTTTATAAATATATTATAAAATATATGATTCAGTTTATATTTTTTTTTTCGCTATTTAATATTAAATTTTTAATTTTTTCCATCCTGTCATTTTTTTCTCTTGATATGCACTTTTATTCAGAATACATGTTTTCGAGGTTAACAACTCATATATAAATCATCTTTGATTTTCATTATTTTTGAATTACAATGAAGGATGAGTTCTTTTTTGTCTATCGGAGGATCGTAAAGAGTAGAATGAAATATCTTTTTTGTTTTTCTTACATATTCCGTTACTACTATATTTGCCGTGTATTTGTTCACATGAAAGAGGATTTTTATGAGCGCGGTGGATTCTTATTCGAAGTGAAGCTAATTAAAGTGCAAGCAAGGATGGAGATAATGACAGGAAAGATGAAAAGAAGAGCAAGCAACACGACTATAGCAAGAACTCACTGAGACCGAGATAACTGTATTTCTACCTCCATTATGTTTTGTCCTTTCTCCTTTACTCTATATGTCCTTTCGTATATCCTTTTGTATTATCTCACATTTTTCACATTTAGAAAGTCCATTTTTAACATTCAACATTTTTACGCTTCTTTGATATTTATTATTTATTTATTTAAAATTAATAAAATCAAAATTTTTAAATAAAAATTTTTGAATATTGAATAATTGAAAATAAATGAAATATGATAGAATAGAAAGTTAACTTAATTATTTTTTCATCTATTGTTTTTCTTATAAAAAAAATATATAATATTTTCAAATTTTTTTCTATTTTATTTTCTATTTTTAATGATAAAATAAAATTTTTAAAAAAGATCTAAAATATTTTCAAAATTATGTTTTTTTTATTTCATTTAGTATTTTCTTTCATTTTTTTTTTATAAATAAAATGAATACTTTTCAATTTCATGAATCTTAAATGAATTGAAGAATTAACATTTAAAATTAGGTAAAATGATCGATGAATAATCGATATAAATCAATTTCACTTTGATTATATAACTTCAAGTTATTTACAATAATTGAAATAACTTACATTTTCGTATAATAATAATTAAATAATTCGAGAAATTAATAAATTAAAGAATATTATATTTGAACTTGAAAATTAAAATTTTAAAATATAGAAATAAAAATTCTTATTCTAGAATCAAATTCTAATTGAATTTGAGAGACCAGTCAGGAATCATTTTTTTTTAATAAGACGAAAAATACAAATAAATTGTTTCTTTATATAAAAATATGAAAAAATTGTTAATTTTTATCTTTACCTTCAAAGTACAATTCATTATAAAAAAATTTTTTATGTGGAATTAAATTCTAAATTAATACTGACATTTAAAAAATATTGATCTGATATATTGATACTGATGTTAAGAAATTAATTCCTTAAGAAAACAAAAAAGAAAAAGAAAAATATGATATAAATATATTAAATTTCTATAAATTTTTAATTATATATATAAGAAACTTGATCTCTTCGTAAAAATAGATGATTGCAGTATAAAAAAGATTTCTAGCAAATTCCAATCATTTTCAAAGCAATAAAATATGCGCATTATGATGTATTATCAAAGATACGAAAAATAGCATGAATAAATATACGAATTGTTGATTGTAGTATAATGAATCGAGATAAACGTAATCAGAAACCGTCTAGCTGATGTGAAATTAATGAATGACGTAAATACGATACGGCTCAGATGAGAGAGTCTGGCGTTTTCCATTTCACCGGTGTGCTTAGAATTTTTCCTCCGGTTGTTCACTTTTCACCTCGGTCAACGAATGCATATGCCCCGCATTGATGCGATTGCGTCGGCTATCGGCATATACGACTTGCGTATGAGTGGTACTTACTTTCGATACCGTGTGCTGATTTCGTACTGATTTATACATTACAAATAATATGATAAAATAGAATAAATATAATGAATTAATTTATTTTGAAAGTTTATTTTTCTATTATAGTGTTTGTTAGTATGTATACGTATATAACCATACTATAGCACAATAATATCAAAAATAATGATTAAATTTACTTCATTCAGAATTTTAATAGGGAATAAAAAACCATAGAAATATATTATAAATTTGAATAAAAGTTATTGAAAAATATAATTCTAAACAAATTTATCTAAATATTTAAATAATTTAGATTTTATTTTATCTTAATTATTTTATTTCTTTCAAAACTGAAAAAATTAATTAATCAAAGAATAAAAGATAAAAGAATAAATAATAATAATAAAAAATAAAAGATTTTAAAAGATATAAAAAATAATAAAGAGAATAAAAAATGCCAATATATTGTCAATAAAAATGCTATATATTGATTTAATATTTATGATTTGTCATTTTTAAATTTCATGAATTTAAAAATACTTTTCATACTATGTATATTTTACTTAATTATCATTTTACATTTTTATTTAATATAAAATAAGGGAATAGATATATGGCATACATGGATAAAAAATAATAACTATTAATTACAATGAAAAATTAATTATTACATTACATATGTAATATTTTTATTACATTTTTCACAATGTAATTAAATCACATTTATAGTTGAAAAAATATTTACTTCTTAAATACACAAGAATCCATAGCTAATTCATATCATATGTTGAAATTTTATTAAAAATAAAATAAAATTGAATTTTGAATCAGAATGAATTAGATTTACTTTTTACAAAAGTTAAAAATCGATTTGAATTTAATATGAGATCGAAAACAGAATTGTCTTTAAAAAGAAAAACAATAATATAATTTATGTCAACATACTTAACCTATTTTATTACAAATCAAGAATCAAAAATCCTACTTAAAAGTTTAAATTCTCAAATCCTGACTAACAAATCACATAATCGGTTCATTAAAATCCCATCAAACTTGAACGACCCAATTTCCGGATACTAACCCTTCTCCTTCTCGGTCGATGACGCAACCTGCTGTCCCAGGTTTCCTTGTCCCTGACGCAGGCTACTCAGTGGGGGCCTCGTAGGAAAAGCACAAAGCACAAACGACTGAAATGCTATTCACGTTGTACATACAACTTATACTGTACATCATATATGCTCATTTATACAGATGTCTATATATATATATATACGTACCTATTCGCATAGTAATAATTCGATGACAGGTTTGGTGGCTTGGTCGTAGTTGCTTACATAGCACATGTATTCCGCAGTTCGTTTGCGCATCTGGCCTGCGCACCTACACGCGCATCTGGCTTGCGCACCTACACGCGCAACACTAAACACAGACGTAGGCAGGTAAAGAAACGCGTGTTCACTGGACTACACGAGTTGTGCGCGAGGCTGAGAGTGGGTTCATCGGACGCCAGCGGCCGCGGATTTACCGTTACGTCTTCTTGGCGAAACCCAGAGTCCGCACACAGCTAGCCAGGCTGCTTCTTTCTTCTTTCTTTTGCCACGTTCTTCAGTATTCTTCCTTCTAGTTGGGTTCCTTATGTTCCTTAGAATTCCAGCAGTCATCGGTCACTAATTCCTTCAAAGAAACCGGAAATACAAATAATTGTTTCTTATTAAACGATCTGGATAAGAAATTGCAAATATTGATTTTTTTTTGAATATGGAATCTTATGGAATTAATAGCTTTAATTTATATTTAGTGATGAAGTTTTAAAATTGTCTCATATTTGAAATTTAATTAGAAATGAATTGTGAATTGAATTGAATTAGGAATGATAAGTTTTACAATACTATTATATAGAACATAATACATAAGATACATAAATACATAATTTATGAAGCCAATATATATATATATATATATATATAATTTTGAAATTTTTATTTTTGTAGTTTATATTTGAAAATATAATAAAAGATAGAATTATTTACAAATATAATTGAAAAAAATAAGATAACAATCAAGATATAGATAGATGTTGCCTCACTTATTTAATATAAACTTAAATTAATAAATCAATCAATATTTTTGTATATTAACTTTTTAATTATTTGTTTTGACATAATAATTAATCCTCAATATCTCATTTGATTCAAAAATTTCACAAATATATTAACATCTTGTTGATTCTTATTGTTGAATATCTATAAAATAAAATATGATTTTTTAGATTTCTATTAGAAATCCTATCAATATATTCATAATAAAACTGTATGCAACATACATTATAGTTATACATGAATTTTAAAGGATCTTAATCTTCTCTGCAATCAATGTCAAAAAGCTAAAACAAAAACTATTATATACTATACTATACTATATTATATTATACAGACAATTATTATATTATATTATATATAATATATATATAAATATTATATTATACTATATAAATACAAAAATAATATTTTATTCTTATTTTACTTCTAATTTTTGCTAATTTTATTTAAAATTTTCTAATATTGTTATAATATAATTTTAAAATTAAAATTAAAATTAAAATCATATTATCTATTTTTTTTTAAACAAGATACATTCATAATTAATTTTAAGAAAAATTCAAAAATTTAAATATTGAAGAATTTTTAATATATATCAAGATTTTCTCTCCATATGACTTTTTTACTTGTTAAATTATTTCTTCCTTGCTTTTTTCTTTCTCTTTTCTTTCATTTATAAAGTGTGCACTCTGGTTATAGTACTAGAGCAAAATGAAATGAATCAAAAGATGACATCAAAGAAAGTGCCAAGTTTAAAATTCGGAGGTCATTCTCCTCTCTATTCAAGGTTTTCTGAGTCATGTGTAAGATTCCAGCAATGCTTCGACTAATCTGACCCGAAATATAGCTCCAGTGAATCAATCCGCAACATTCCTATCCTATCACAGTATTTCTCATATTTTTTTGAATCATGACCTCCTTTTATAATCAAATCTGTAATATATTTGTTCACAAATATAATCTCTATATAAAATATAGAATAATATAGAATTGTAAAATTATAATTAAAATAAAATACAATGAAATAAATATAGAATTTCTTATATTAATAATTATGATGAAATCATTCCAAAATCTCTTTGAGAATCAGAGTTCAAAAATAATATTTTTTTTTTATTTTATTTAATCTAATAGATCTAATGAATCTAATAAAACATTTTTCAATCTATTTTACTATTTTATTTTAAATATTTTCAACTTAAATACAGCTCTTATTTACAACAAATTATACGTTCTTTTTAGTTATAAAAATCACGATAGAATCGAAAAAGACAAAAATTCTTGTCAGCAATGATAAATTGTTGTTTTATTCATTTTCGAAGATATTTACTTCCTAGAATGCTGATATTAAATGATGATGGAAATCATGAAGCCGTGATGAACACATAGCCACCAGTTTATTTTATTTATATCCGAAATAATCAGATTTTATTAAAGGAAAGGAATCAATTTTTTTTTTAAAACGTAATAAATCACGTTGATAATGAAAAATTTATTAGCAATAGCTTCTCCATGAAAATTTTTTATGAAATTAATATAACATTAATATTTTCAATAAGTAAATAGAAAATTTGTTGCTTTAATGCAATTAAAATATTAACATTTTCGAATAAATAATTATTTTATAATTATGATTTAATTTAATATTCTTATATCGAAAGATAAAAAAATAATGTTAAATATATTTCTGGAAATAAATCAAAGATATTATATCTTGTTCAAGCATATGTATTATTAAATTATTTTCTTTAAATGTATTTTTATAGAAATTTAGCAAAAAAAAAAAAAATTTGAAATTATTTTAAAACTTATACAAAATCTTTTTTTTTTACAAATCAAAAAAAAATCGTAAAAAAAAAATAAATAATTCACTTCACATTTTCCATAATTTTCTCCCTTTAAGGAATCGTTGCACAGGTTTCGCGGAATGGCATCGGTGAACGAGTTCCGTTGCACAACGATCGGGAGAAACAGACGAGTCCTCGAGACGTGTTTTTCTTCTGGCTAAGGCCACCTGTGCAGGGCCCCCAGCCTTCTACTTTACTTTCTTCACGGTTCCGTTAAATACCCGACACACCGATCGCAAATCCAGGTGCGGAGGTCAACTTGAGCCAGGTTAGGGTTTCGTACGTTTCTCCCCGCTATCCGTGCCTCTGTCACGCATGCATGCGTACTTGAACACAGGTGCTTTTAACACCGGGTCACTTTTTTCTCTGATAAGATGGAACAAATGTAAGTGCATTCATATATAATAATTTAACTGTGTCAATTATCTAAGAAAATTAATTTTTTGATTTTAGACTATTTATATGATAAGACATTGGTATTATCGCAAAATCAAAAATATTAACATCTATAATCTATATTTTATATGAATATTTTGTTATGAGTAGATCATAATGGATTATACAGCAATTTTTTTATTAATGAAATATCACTTTCAACAAAATGAAATCAACAAAATCAATCTTCAGTATATTCTATTATTTTTATTTTTTTAAAATAAAACTTTGAAAATGATACCAAACGAGCAAAAAATTTTAATTATAAAATATAAATAATTTTAGTGTTCTATTATCTTGTGAAAAAATAATAGAAACATACACATAATCATTTATACTTTGTATATTATTAAAATAAAATTTTTCAGAATACGTAAATTTCCTTATAAGATAGCACATGCAGTTTTACAACTGAGTATAATAGCTTAAAGAAGGTATTCAGATAATAAATTTGGAAGAAATAATGGTGATTATTTACGATATGGAATATCTTGTCTTTTAATGTCTTTCGGATGTTCAAGGTTAACCCTAGTAATTTAGATAAAAATATTTAAATGTAAAATTGTCAGTTAAGATTTATTCATTAATTATTGTTTATTTATTTATTAAAATGCAAATAAAATTTTCGAAATTTAATTTTGAAAGTGATTTTTAGCTAATAGATACCGCAAAGTTGAAACTAACTAACACAAATGTATTAACATTTTGCATTTACATACAATGAAAAATTAAAAGTAAAATAAAATAAAATCAAAATTAAAGATAAAATTTTGTTCTATCTTTAGATATGTTTCTAATTGACATTCGTCTAGATAATATAATAAATACGTTCTCTTATTCTTAAGCAATACAAGCAGATGGACACCTCGAAGAACCGTTTCTCGCACGCTTGATACCGCTTGTTCGAGAGTGAAACTAGTTGTTCCAATTTCGATCGAACTTTCCTAAAAGATGTCTTTTTCTTCTCTATAATCTTCCTTTTTCATATTTCTTCCATTATTTTACGAAATTACATAGAATTTAATTTTTAAAATAATTCTTTTCCATTTCTACAATGCAAACTATTCTATTTCTTATAGAAAAAATATAAATGTATAAAAAGCAAGATTCCCCTTTTTTATGCACATAACTTAACCTATATGTATCTAAAATTTTTAAATCTTATTTGATTTTTTCATTAAAATTTAAAATAATAGTTTATTTTTATTTATATTTCGTCTAATGCAAATTTCAATTGCATTTATAATTTAATAAATAAGCTTTGATCAACATTTTTATATACACAATTTTTATGTTTCGATTTTATAATCAAAAAATATATATCCAATGTATATTAATAGTCTATATATACACGATATCTTATTCAAAGTTCTTATCACAATTCTGTAACAATTTTTTAAATGCTCATTTTATAAAAGTAAAGTTTTTCCTAATTCAATTATATTATAATTAAAAATCCATTGAGATCTTTCATTATCAAAACAATCACATTGATCATATAATCTTTTGTTGTCAAATACAAGAACTTCAAGATTCAACAATGAAAGAAATGTTCATAACAAATAACGAATAAATGCAAGACAATCCCCATAAATCCGTAAACGAGGAAGAAATATCGAGGAGCGAGAGAAGGCGAAGGAAATAGAACTGTGTTCTCAGGATCGAAAAGTATGCAACAAAGATATTTTCGCAAAAAATCATGAGAATCTTCGTGGCAGCTTTACGATCGAATGAAACGGGAAAGCAAATCTGATGTCGTCATGCTGGTACCCGCTGACTTCCTAGATGGTGTCTTTCTACGTTTATGCTGGCATGATAAACGACGAGCGATCGATGAAACGGTTTTCGCTATCGCTGTTTTTTTTTTTTTTTTATCAAAAATTCAATATTTCGGAGAAATTTTCTGTATCGAGCAATATGTTACATTTCATTAATAAGAAATGTATTTCAGAAATGTGATCCTTTGATTTTGGTGAAATTTGATATTCATTGATACATTGATTGGCCTGTGCAGAATATGATCGTGGAATATTTAAAAGAATGATTCTGAAAAAGAAATATATATTATATTATTATATCATAATTATATCACTGTCATAATTGTAATTTTTGATAAAAAAAAGTTTAAAATTTTTTAATAATTTTTAAGATTAAGAAATTACAATTGATTAAGTAATTGAAGTTACAATTGACAGAAGAATAGTTGTAAAATTTTCTCTTTTTATTTTTAATTAATAATTATGGTTATTATTCGAAATATAATTTAAAGTAATTAATGATTTAATAATTTTAGATAATAAAAAATACATAAGAAAAAAAATAAATAAAAATAACTTTTGATCTCGGTCTATTCTATTAAATATGAGATAATTATTGTTGAATAAGTTATTAATAGAAAAATAGATCATTTAAAAGATTACTTTAAAACTACTTAACGAACTTATAATAATTCTTATCGGTCAATCAAATGAGCTACCAGTTGGTTTGCCAGTACCATAACGAAAAATGATTTCTTTCTTGGATGTTATATATCATTTTTTTAGAATTTTTTTTCCACATTAATTGCTTTAATTGCAAGCAATTTTCAATTACTAATTATTTTATTACCTAATGATAAAATTTCATGATAAACACTGTTTTTTCTTCTAAATCAAATATTAATTTCAGTAAATATCTTTTTATTTTTAAAACATGAAACAATTTTCATAAATTATTTATTATAAATGCCTCTCTATATAATTTTGCAATCTCTATATATTATAATTTTGATTTGTTATTACAAAATTTAATTTATTCAAAGATAGATTGTTGCAATATCAATTTTATTTATTATCGTAAAATATCGATAAAAAAATACATACCATATATTTTCTTTAATATAAGTTTATTAAAATTGATTTTTAATATAATATAAGTTTTATTAAAATTGATTCGTTTCCATATTAATAGGAAAAATTAGTCTTATTAATATATTTAAAAAATGATTTTCTGAATAATAGAAACATCTATAATGCATTTTAATCTCAAAAAAGAAATAAGAACTTTATATTGTTTTAAATCTCAATCTTTTCGAATTTTACCAAAACTATATTGTAATGCATTTACAAAGCGTGTATAATATTAGACTTACTTTTATCGATACGCCTGTTTGCCAATAGTAGATTTCCACGATGCACATATAAAGACAGATACGTGAACAGCACGTATATAAGGTGTTCGATCCAAGTTAGTAGAAAATTGAAGAAGTAATACTAAAAATTAAAAATAATTAAATATAAAAGATAATATATAAATGTCTTACAAAATTAAGTATAAAAAAATATAAAAATTGATATATAAATATATTTTGAAACTTATTTTTCAAGTTATGAGCAATTTAATTTTTAATATTAAACAAAATAAGACAATTATCTTTGTCTTGTTTCGTGTTCAATAGAGAAAAATTTCATACTTAAAATTTTAAGTCTATGACTGTTTATTAATTTATAAAACAAATTAAATAATGTAATTATGTTTATTAAAATATAACATTTTCTTAATAAATATGAAATAGAAAATAATAGAATTAAAAAATTCATTTAATAAGTTTCTCAAACAAATTTTACAAAAAAAATTTCTCTTTTTCTGATTCTGCTCTATAGCATAAGTAAAATCATACGAAATTAACAATAATAATATTAAAAATAATCATATGTATTAATTTATTACAATTTATATTTTAAGCTATGTATAAAAAAATAATGTTAATTCACAAATAATTATTTGAAATATAATTCTATACTGAATATAATACTATATACCTCAAGATATACGAACATAACCTATTGTTTATAAATAAATATGAATACAAAAATAATCGAAAATAATTTCTAAAATATGATATAAATAGTTACTGTAAATAAAGATAGATAATTTTATTATGACTTATAATTTTATATAGTTTTATAATTAAGTTGATTATAATTTGAAAAATGAACTTCAACAGACATCTTCGTATACCGCCATATTTGTTTAGTACCTATATTATAATCATTCTTTCAATTTTCTATATCTACTTTTCTACTTCGTTCGAACACCCTGTATACGCATGCGCATGTGCGCGCACAACCATGATGTGCCGCTTACATTAAATAAATTACAGTGGCCGCGGACCGGTAACACGGGAACGCTGTTACCTGGTCTCTCCTGGTCGCACATGCGAGCAGAATCGCGCGGCAAAGCGCAAAACACAGGCAAAGTTTCTTGCTACTACCAAGCCAGAGGAAGTTCCTCTAATGGTTTCTTCCCATGACCGTGCTCCACCTTCTCATCTATCTACGGAATGATTTTCCTGTCGCCGGAAAAATTATTACTCAAACGCGGTGCGAATTACCGTGCCTTTCGCATTGTTCAGGTTAGATCTCTCGTCTTGTTTCCGACTCGTCGCTCTTCCTTTCCTTTCATACCAAACTAGGGATACCGTATAGTATGAGTTACACAAATGCACGTTTACTCACGTCACGTTTCGATGAGACTGATTTTCCGGAATTCTACAGATTTTCTGCATTAATCGTAAAACTGTCTAAATATATATTAGATTATAACATTCAGAATGGAATAATAAAATTCTTAATGAAACCCGATTGATAAAAAAATTTTGTCTATCAAGATATTAGAATATTTAATTGATTGTTATAATTATTTTTTTATTTTATATTTGTGAAAAAAACACTCAATTTTGATAATGAAACATAATTCATCATAATAAAATGATTTAAAAAAAGTAAAAAAATTCTAAGTTTTTTAATATTTAGAATATCTATGCACCATGATTCGTATAAAATTTCTTAAAATTATTTATTCATTTTTTAAAACAAAAAAGATTTTATATTTTTACTTTTTTCTATATTTCATATTAAAATGCATATTTTAGAAATCTTATAGAGGAATCTCGTTATATGTTTTTATACGTATAAAACAAAATTATTATTCATTCGCTTAATGCAAATAAAGTGACACGTTTGGGTACAACTGAACTATCCAAGCATCGCAGAACAGAGATTCATTTGCAGATCTATGCGAATGATTTCTGCCTTTCGAACGCGCCACGGGAAAGTATCAAGTTCCAGAAATTTACACGCGTGCCTGCCGCGCGTATATACCTCCATAAGAGAGAAAAAGAAAAGAACTTTGAAGAAACGAAGCGAGAATCGGCGAGTTCTCTCGATTCGTGCACATATGTATGTTGAATCCTGTGGCCCTTCATCTCCCGCTTCAGCTGGTTTTCCTCGATCTTTCTCTCGCCTTGATCTTTCTCTCCTTCTCTTTCTCTTTCTTTTCGTTTTTTCTCTTTCTTGAGTTCTTGAGGTCAGAACCGTGATCACGCCTCACCTTCCTTCCCGTTCTTCGGCGTCGTGCATTCATTGGCCTCGCCTCCACACATCTCGAGGTTACGGCGTTCCCCTGCGAAGTTCCACGATGGTTTCGACCTTCTCCGATATAACGCTACAGTTCTCACTATGCTAACCATCGCCATTTCTGAGGAATAGCTTGATAATTTTCAGAATTCATTAAAATTAATATTGATACTTTCGATATATAATTTTTTATAAAATATACTTATATAACATAGTATATATAATTGTGATCATTATATATAGTAATATATTAATATTTGATAATATTATTTATTTAATACTCATCTAATATTATTTTGATGATTATATTTCTATTTATAGATATATATAAAGGCATAAATAAATGTGAGAAAAATGATATGCTATATTTGCTGCAAAATCTCGTTTATCAAAAAAGAAGCAAAGAGAAGAAGCGCATTGAACGTCGAATAACCAGACGATCCGAAGTGGAACGGCTACGGAAAATTACATTGTTACGAGGGCTGGTTCTTAGTTGCGCGCACGCTCGAGTGAACGCAACACATCCACCATTAAGAGGTCTCGACGGAAGAGGCCCTTAATTGGTCAAGCTGGCACGCTACTGCGGGAAGTATACGGGATCTAAAGACGTGTCTTCGTTGTGCTTCGTGTTACGAGGTGCACGCACGCGCTCTTCTGTCATAGTTACACCTGAAATACGCACGCGCAATCGAACGTTTATGAAGAAAAGCTTTCTTCTAAATTGATTCCTAGAAAAAATTTTCATCATAATTTCGATTAGGCAGTCAATTAATTTCGATTTTGACATAGTGAAAGTTTAAAACGAATATATAATCTTGTCATCTTAAATCAAGTATGATTTATATGATATCCTAATATCGTTATTAGCCTGCTTATTTTAAATTTATTTTAAATTATTTCTTTCTAACCTAGTACCATTTTTTAAAATTTTGATTTTCAATATAGCAAATCTATTAATCAACTAGCTTTTCAATTTATATCTTAACTATATAAAAACCATTTTTCCTGTCTAATTTATCATTCATTCGTAAATTGATTGAGCGTTAACATATAACAATTTGTGACACAAATATGAACTGTCGTAGCATTTCGACGATATTGAACCCCATCATATTTATCTCGAGTTTAATAAACAATTTTTGCTTTCTGAGTTTAATAAATAATAGAACAAAGATCGAAATAAAATTTTTCATGCGAATTCTTTATATTTATATTTATAAAGCATAAAATAGAGAGAAGAGAAATGTGAAATATTATTTTGATTTTTAATAGAAAGATTTAATAGATATAAAAATAGATTTAATAAAAACATCAAACGAATAAATTTAAAAAATTTTATATGAAAATATGCTATATAAGTATTGTAAAATTAATATTAAATAAAAATTTGTTACTATTTTTAAAAATGAAATATGAAATAAATATTTTTACAACAAAATCAGACAAATAGAAATTCGAGAGAAATTCGAAATATATTGACAGTAAATGTAATCATTATGTTTGTTATTTATTTCAACTAATAAAGAAATTGCAAGTCAGCATATGCAATTATTTTCACGAATTATAATAAATGATAATTAATATTCAAACCGTCGTATATCTCGATAAATATATATTATTATTATAAATATATGTACATTTTTGATGCAAAAAAGTCATATACTCATAATAAACTAATAATATGAGAAATCGTTAAAAGTAATAAATATTGTATAAGTCATATTTTCAGTATAAATTTCATAAATTTCACTATTGCCAGAGAGAATATGAAATTTCCTATAAATTAATAATTTTGCAAAATAATTTCTATAAATATATATATATAAAAAATATATTAGAGTAACGTTTAATTGCACAATGAAAGCAAAAAATGATTTTTTGTACCTTATATCTAGTCAATGCTATCGTATAGATCATGATCATTATCATCGGCACGCTCATGTTCTACGTATCAGTCCGCTGCTAAAATCCAATTCCAATCATTAGTCACGGAAGGCAATTCATGACTATACGAGTTTTCACAGCGACACGTTTCGATGTCTATTTCCTCTACTTGTTCTCTTCTTTCTCTCTCAAGTTCAGTGCCACTGTCCTCGAGAGAGTTCCGGTCGTTGCTCACACGCGTCCCTTTCATTCTGACGAGCCGTCGCAACATGTACCGTGATTCGTGTTACGTAATCATCGGAACGTGAATTTTTTTTCTCTACTTGTCGCCCCCTTTCTTTAACTACCTGAACTATAGTATGTCGATATTAATCACATTTTGCTTTAATAGTACACGCACATTCTTTTTTTTAAATTTTTTTAAATCGAGTTTGTAGATTTTTTAACATATCGCATCAAAGAATAACATTTCTTTTATTTCACACTTATTATTTCTAATTCTCGATAAGTAAATTGCAAATGCAATAACACTAGCGAATATGAGAATATCTTTCGTTATGCGACATTATCCCAATTAGAAATAGTAATGATACATCGATATTTCAATAATTTCGATATATCGATAGAAAATATCAATGTTTTTTGCCATTGATATTTGGAGATCGATATATCGAAATTGATAATTTGATGGAATATACAACTTCACGATATTTTTCTTTCATTACAAAATATATAACTTATAATAATAATATAATAATATAATAATAATATAATAAAATAATAATAATATAATAATTGTCGCCGTGATTCGATCGAAGACCTCCGCCATTGTTTCTCACGCTTCAAGGGATTCTCAGTGCATCGTCCAAAATGCCCTTTAACCTCTCACATGTGTATACCTTGCACGCAACTCCTCGATGAATTGCATTGCGTCGTAGTTGAGACTTTATCGTCGTTTTCGATACTCGCGTCGGATCACTTTAATTTTATACTACTGCCGAGTTGTGCGATATCGCAATATTACTGGGTTAAATAAAGATAACATCATAATATATGATATCATGGTTAGGGTATACTTTTATCATGTTAAAACAATAACAACTATGTGGTAATTCACCATTTCCTGTTAATAATGAAGTATAAAATTTCAAACAGTAGTGTTTACATTAAAACATGCACAATTCGAGACATATTGCGAACATATTTATATTTCGGTTGAACTTCGTTTTAATCACTATTTTTCTAATGTTTATTGTATAGTATTTATTAATATTATTGGATGAATAGAGACAAATGATGTAATGGTTTTGAATTTAAGAATTTTAATTCAAAAAAATTATCTAACCTCATTTTATTGATATACATATGTCATCTCTATTCATTAAATATAAAATCATAAAATAATAAAAATAATATGATAAAATATAATAAAAGTATAATCATTTTCATTAATGATGCCATCAAATCGATTTTTTAATTTCTATTAATAAAAGAAGCCATTAATATTAAAATATTAAAATAATTTATTTTTAAATTCATCATTGTGAAAATGATTTATTTTTTATTCAATCTTTTGAAAAATATAATAAT